TAGATTTACAATTCATAATTATTAGAGTTACGGTAGGTAGCATGTACTGATTTTGGAAGGTGAGGTAACCACACATCACTTTGGACATTTTACAACTAGTTTTGGATGGTGATATTCTAGGGGCCACTTTCCTACGAGCTTAAGCTGCTTTTAACCCTCCAATGTACCAAAAAAACAAAAAAAAAAAAGAAAAAAAAAAGAGAAATCAGCACTGATGCATTTATGTTATGTATAGAAAGGCCAGGGACTAAACTACTTAAAATGTGGATTGTGGATTGAAGGAATAACACAGCCGCTTGCTAGAGTTTACCAAATCAGTATAGACTGAATAAAATGATGACCCAACATGCATTTTGAAGCCAAGAATATTCCTAAACGAGGGAAAAAGGGAATATTGAGAAATGACGAACTTCTGTTGATATACAATTACATAGAACCAAGGAGATCACAAGTGAAGTCAATTTTTCACCAAGAATCAGGTATCAATTTGAAATAGAGTGAATTCAAAATAAACTTCTCAAACAATAATCTGAAAATATTACCTTGAAGATGACCATTATATTGCTCACATGGGAACACTCACAGAAAGAGATATATAATAACATACAGAACATGAAAGCAAGAGTTACCAACATTTTTTGAAAAATCCTTACTTGCATCGGATAATCACTGGAACAGGTTTCAAAGCCTTTGGTCCATTTCGTATTCCTCTCTTATGGGGAGTCGTCTGCATGACAGATAGAGCTTTAGAAAACCACTTCATAAATACAATCATGACTTAACAAGAATCCAAATGTAAAATCACAATTGAAACAGTAGTAAATACCAGTCAACAATACAATAGAAGTTCTAAATGAAAGAACCATTTGGGGGGGATCATAGATAAGGATGTATTTTCACAAAAGACTACTGAAGGAGGAAAAAAATTAAAAAACTGAATCTTTGTGGAGAAAAGTATAAACAAACGCAATAAATGGTAAATCAATTATCCAATAAAAACATAAAGAAGTTAGATAATTTTTGGACTAAGCTGGATTATTAATCATAACATTTAATATTAGACAAGAAAAAGGATATATAAAAGACAAATAAAACAAGGGTTTTTCTACATTGTGCCCTAAGGGCACAAGTTATGGGTGCAATTATTGCACCCCTTTCATATTAATTAATATTGAAAAATATAAAAACTGACATTAATTTTCATCACCAATGCCATGTAGATTATTTTAATTGGATAGTTACTTAAATAAATGTCAACTTTTATTTTTTCCAATACTAATGAATATAAAAAAGTGCAATAATTGCACCCTTAACCTATCCCCTGAGGGTACAAGTTAGAAAAACTCATAAAACAATTATAAAAAAAAATACCATAGTTTAGTTTAGCAATAACTACTACAGATTATCCCAAGAAAGCAAGTCTGAAAAAGCAAAAAGGATCCTATAGTGTTCAAGAAAGGAGTGTGTAAGCCATTTACAAAAAATTCAAGGCATTCTTAAAACCAATTTTTATATTGAGAGTGAGAGAATCATACTACTGCAGGAATATTTTTAGGTATATTATCAGAGCATATTAGAAACAATCTCAAAAGAATTAAAGCATAAAAAAGTATACATACATTTTAAACATAATGATGAGTATCACTAGTGAAAATAAGCATCAGGAAACTCTGACTTAATAGATGTTCAGACTATTGCCAGAGGAAAATACCCATCAACATAAAGCATCATCCACAAAATTGATTGGGAATACAATCAGAACTCCATAAGTACAAATATGAGAAAATTGAAATCAAATGTTCAATCACCCAGGCAAAAGGGAATCCCATTAATAGGAGAAGCTATATCAGAGAATGATCCAAAGTAATCTAGAATGCCCTTCATGACAATTTATCTTTGCTGTCCAACTAAAAGTTCAACAACAGATTAACCAAACTGACCTGTAGGGCAAAAATACTATTGTACCAGAATATCAGTCTTTTATTAAATTAATTTAATTGGCTCCAACATTAGTCCTAAAACAAAACAAGGCAAAAAATCCAAGCTATGGGAAAAAGAATATCCATAGTATCTAAAACCCCAAAACCCCACCAAACACAAACCAAAATTGAAAAACTAATGACCCAAAATCCAAGTCATCAATAATAGACAAAGAATCAAAGCTTCTTTTTTCTTTTTCATTTTTTCTTTCTTGTCCAGCACGAACCCAAATATTCAGAACAAAAGACAAAGAATCATTTCTGAAATTCCAAACAAATTTTCCCTGAAATTTTTTGAGAAGTTACCTTTCTCTTGGGTTCAGTCATGAGCTCCATGGATCCACTAAAAGAGAAAGATGGGAATCCGAGCCCATTATCATTTTTATTGTTCTTATTTGGCATTCCTTCCATTTCTGGCAAAACAAAAGGTTGGGGTGTTGTTGGTTGACCAATCGGGTAATCCAATTGTAGAGGAAGTGCAGCAGAGTGGGCCAACCTCCTGAGTCCTAAGATAGGACCAGAGCTGACCTCAACATGTTTTAGCATCACCACTCTCAGTGCCATTTTGGTGGAACTGCAAGTGAAGGACTTTCACTGAGTCTTTCTCACCCAAATGGTATAGCAGAGTTCTCTATTACCAAAATCAGTGATGACATTGTTATACAAGGGACCAAATAAATGTAAGTTAGGGCAGGCTTCATATTGTGCAGGTATTTGGCTTCAAATGTACTAAAATCAGTAAATCAATTTATTTCCATAATCAAAAAGGCAGCCCAGAAAATTTTATGGCAAAAATAGTATTAGAGAACAGGAAATCCAACAACCATATTTAAATGCAATAGAAAATTCTCTCAAATTTGTTTGTTGTCCATTAACATAAAGAAAACTAACGTTTACAATCTTGTATTTGTATTTTGACCTTCTTTCTTTTGTGGAAGAGATAACATGCTATTTCCTATAAGAATAGAGAACACAGTCCAACTGGAAGGCCAAAAAAAACAAAAAAAAAAAGAAGAGAAGAAGAGAGAGAACACAGTCCTTCCAGTTAACATATCATAAATATCTGAATTTAAACATAGGAAAGAGAAATAAATTATATTTTCTTAGTTAAAAACCAGCAGAGTGCATCCTCCAGGTACATCTTTACCATATTTTCTAAATAAATGACACAAGCTTTCAATTATTCAGCACAAACCACAATAATTCCTTGAGTGCAAATTATAAGAACCAAGCCTAAGTAGCCAGTTTGGTCTATTTGGTTCCAGGGAAAATTTTTTCATCCAATCAAATTTGATCGGATAAAAAAATTCCCCTCCCTCCATTTCCCTCAAAACCAAACAGGAAAGGAAAATAAGTGCAAACACATTCCTATTTCCTTTGAAGATTTACCTCTAAACCAAAACAAATGAAATTGCATCCTAAACTAACACCTAAAGGCTAGAGTAATTAACTAAATTAAACCCTTAAATACAAAGAAAATTGTGAACAAACTAAGGAACTTAGATCTACCTTTCTACAATCATCTCATCCCACTGTTAAGAAGATAAAATTAGCCATATTAATATAATTAGTGAAATAAAATAAAAATCCAATAAAACAGAAGAAACAGTACATATCTCAGTTTTACTCAAAGACCCATTAACCTAACTTTCACAATCAAGAACAAGTATTGGCTATTCCATGTAGACAATAGATTAAAAATGAAGAAAAAAAATCCAAAATGGTTACTTCTTCGGTGACCAGCCATATGCAGCTAAAATTTTCTAAGAAAACACCAAAGCCTATGCCTTTCTAGAATGTACTTCTAAACTGAGATATATAATAAAGAATGTTCATTAGTTTCATATTTTTTTTCAATCTAAAGAATGCAAATTGAATAAAAACATTGATAGAAGAAACGGAAGATAAAATTTAAAAGGTTGGGAAGTAGAGAATACATGGAACCAGAGTGGAGCTAAGAGTTTAAGACCCA